AAAACTCTCAAAACATTACCTGATTTAATACTTAGCGGTAAGTAATTAATATTTTATCAAATGCATACTAAATAATTATTTTTAATCATATTATTTGAACTTAATATGTAGATATCATGATGCCAAATATGGATGGATATGAGTTATTAAATGTGTTAAGATCTGATATAAAAACTCAACTAATTCCAGTAATATTATTATCCGCAAAAGCTTCTGAAACCTCTAAAATTCAAGGTAATTTAAGTTATTAAATTATTTTATTAAGTTATTATTTTTTCATTTTATTTATCAATTTTTGTTCTCAATATTTTTACCTTTAGGTCTGGATAGAGGAGCAGATGATTATTTAGTAAAACCATTTTCGGCTCGAGAATTAATTTGTCGTATTCGAGCTAATATTGAATTCTCAATTATTCGTCGTAGAATACTATTTCATCAATTTAAACAAGAAGATGCAAAGCAATTATTATTTTCAATAGTAAACATGATTTTTTCCGAATTAGATTTAGATAAAACATTACTTTATATTACAAAGGAAATCTATCGTAGATTACCATGTGAAAGAATCTTTATTATTCCAAATGAATCATCGAGGAAAAATAGAATAGTTTTTCCATGTGAAAATGACTCGGAATATTTAACACCAATAATTAATCCATTCTTGGAAATTAATGATAACTATAATAATTATTCACAACCAATTACAAAGTTGCAAGAATATTTAAAAAAGAAAGGGGTTGATATTTCTTTAGTTGTATATTGTGATGATATTCGTAAAAATGTTTCTATATTATCTGTAGGAATAAAGTTGAATAATGATTTTTGGGGATGGGTAAAATTATATAGACCTCAAAATTCTGTTTGGTACGATTCTGAAATAGAATTATTAGAACAAATATCAAATTATATAGGTTTAGCTATTACTTATGCACAGTTGTTGGAAGAGATTGCTGAAAAAGAAATTCGAATTAAAGTTGCCGAAATTGCTAATGATACAAAGACTCAGATATTAGCAAATACTTCTCATGGTATATTTTTATCATTTCATATACTTCTAAACTCTTATTATGTTAATTGTTTTAATTTTATTCTATTCTAATTCCTTTCTTATTTAGAGATACGAACACCTCTAGGTGCAATAGTAGGCATTACTTCTTCTTTCGAGGGTACTACTTTAACTTCTAATCAAAAGGACATGCTTAATATTATATTAAGCACTGCGGATGTCGTGTTATCTATAGTTAACGATATTCTTAATGTTACCAAACTAGAAGCTAAAAAAATCATTTTAGTAAATAGAACTTTTGATTTATTAGGCTCAATTGAGAGCACAATTGATACATTTGGAAAAAAAGCTGGGATTAAAAATATTGAATTAATTGTGAATTGCGAGATAGATATGTTGCCAAGATATGTTAAGAGTGATCCTGAGAGGTGATTTAACTAATGTATTTATATAAAATGTTTAAAACTAAGTACAGCAGTTATTTATATTTACTTTATTCTTTTATTAAAACAGACTAAACCAAGTTTTATCTCACTTATTATCAAATTCGTAAATATTTTTTTGCTTTTATTTTAGTGGATATTATTCATACTCATCACTATATGATTTTTTTGAACCATTTATACGTATATGCATTTCTAGAAGCTTTTACTAATAATTTTCGAGATGTTTTTAAAAAAAATCATGTGGTGGTGGACTATAGCAACTATTTTACTTTTTATAATTTATAGTTATTCTATAATAATTCTTAATTTTTAGAGTTAAATTTACTAATGAAGGTGAAATAATATTGACAATATCAATACTACCACGAGAATTCATTGAAGAAAAAGAGAACTCAACTTACAATCGCGTGGTTAAAAAAGCAACGTTGTTAATTGAATTAAGTGATACCGGTATTGGGTAAGCTAATTGTGATTATATAATTTATATATTTAGCACACAAACTTATATAAATAATTTATTTAATAATAATAGCATAAATCCAGAATATTTACAACATGCTTGGGAAAGCTTTTCACAAGGTGACATGTCAATAACTAAGAAGCAAGACGGTACAGGACTTGGTCTCTCAATTTGTAAAAGTCTAATCGAAATTAATGGAGGTGAAATTAAAGTAGAAAGTCAATTAGAAAAAGGAAGCAAATTTTCGTTTACTTGGAATGTTGAACTATTACCAATGACATCTTTACCAATAGAAATTCAATTTAATGAACAATTAAGCTATGTATTACCTCTCGCTATAAGAAAAAAACGAATATTAATAATTCACTCAGTTGAAAATGTGAGAAACTCTATATTGAGATATCTTAGAAGAGTAGAAACAGCTGATGCATTTGATACCTTTGAGAAAGGTATTGAAGCAGTAAAAACATATAAAGAATTATATGATCGATTTACTTATGATATAGTCTTTATCAGCCTTTATGAGAACAACAAAGAAGAAGTCATAAATTTTATATTAAAATTAAAAGAATTGTTAGTTAATAGTAATAATTTAGCAATAACATTTATAGTATTTCCAAGTTATGAAAGAATTATGCTAGCAAAAGAATTAATGGAAAAAGGTTTAGGAACTTCTGTAATTTATACTCCAATTACATGGAATAAGTTAATTAATCAATTATGCATATAGATATAAACTAAGCTTGTAACCAGAAGATATGTCTTACAATTTATACTTGTGATATAATGATTAGTATAATGTTAGATCACAGATTCCAGTTTTTAACAAAATTAATATAGTACAAACTCTTTCTATAACGAACTGAAATTACTATGTTTTTTAAGAACCCATGTCACTAGATCGGATAGACCGATGATCAGCTTAATACTTTTTTGCTATAACGATAAAAATCAATTAAGAATCTCAACGCATTTACAATAAGCTCTTCAAATTTATAATGTTTATATGATATAACAAGGGCAATAGTTATTTATTGATTGACATGTTTGATAATTTAAGTCATACGTAAATTATGGTTTAGAAAATAATATAGTATAGTAATGTAGCCAAATGGCTTCTTTGCATTAAGTTTCAACCATTATTAATATCTACGCTTCATTTTATACTAAGCTAGAATTGAAGAGCTCCTATAATTTACTAAAGATTATAGTTAAAATTAATTGAGAAGATATTTTGTTACTTTTAAATGCTTAACATTGTTTTTAAATAAAACTTGAATGTGCTTTATATTTAATTACTTTATACTTTCTTATTATCTTATTACATATATATATGTATGAATAAAAATTATCTCATATGTACTTATTAAAATCACTTAATCGATAATTTAATTAAATAATATAATCGTAATTGGGCATGCCAAATGTTCAATCTTGTACTGATCAAGACAAGAACTGTATTAATATACGAAGTAAATTAACAACACGATTAGATGTTACTTGCATAGTAAAAAAAATATATTTATTGTTATAGTATAAATGTTTTATACGTATTTATAAGCACCATAAAATTATGCATATATAAAAAAAAAACTGCTAACAGGAAAAAAAAATTTGTAAA